TTCTCAGAAGATGACGTGAAAATATCCATAAAGAAGAAAATAATTGTTGACGTGGAGTTCTACATCCAATAAAAATAACTATCAGAATAAGGGCAAAATAAAAACATTCTCAGATAATGGAAAACTAAGTGAATTAATTTTTGCCAACTGATTTTTCTCTAAGACAAATGGTAAAAGAAATTCTCCAAGTTGAAGTGTTACCCAAAGGGAAACTTGAACGTAAGGAATAAACAGCATAGAAGTCATAAATATCATGGTAATTATAGTGGATTATGTTTGAGTTCTCTCAAATACATATAGCTATTGAAAGCAAAAAAAAGTTTCCAGTTGAGTGTTGCATGTTTGTAAACACAATATGATAATCATGACAGAATTATGTCATATGATATTATATTAATATGATATTATATTAATATCATAATATGATAATTATGACCCAAGATTAGTGTGTTAAGTCTTCAACCAACCACTGAAAATACAGAAATGAAAAGAAATAAATCTAACTACTAAAAGATGGACAAATAATCAAAATGAAGTAAGAAAGGGTGATCAGAGAAATACACATACAATTTCATCAAAGCAAAGGAAAAAAAAAAAAAAGCCATGTACAAGTCCACTCGGCCTGCTGTTAACAGAATGCCTTTCAACAAAATGACTTTTTGCAACCTTTATATTTCAAAGTTCTAGACGCTAGGAAGACTTAGATCAAGGCATCACAAGATTTGGGGTCTTGGGCCAAATAGCTCATCACATTAAAGCACCTGCTTAGGCACACACAGCAACCAGGGTTCGATCCCTGGTATGCTGTGCTGGCCCTGCCCCCAGGCGCGTTGAGATGGCAATTGAGATTGGGTGTGGTGGTGCACATCTGTAATCCCAGCTCTTGGGAGGCTGAACACTGGCAGATCACTACGGGTTTAATCTACATAGTGAGACCCTGTAGACTCTGCAGACCATGCACTAAAATACAAAAAAAAAAAAAAAAAAAAGATTTGGTGTCTAGTGAGCGCCCACTTCACAGACGGTACTTTCTGTGTACTCATATAATGAAAGGAGCAAGAGGTCCCTCTTGGGCCTCTTTTGGAAGGGAACTGATTCCATTCATGATGGCTCTGCCCTTACATTCCCAGCACCCCCAAAGTCCTCACCTCTTACTACTATTGCCTTGCATGTTAAGATTTTAATATATTAATTCTAGGGGGGCACAAACATTCAGATCACAGCCCCAACCTTCACAAAACCCATGTTGTATGTAAATGGTCTAAGCATAAAAATTCAAAAAGAGAGATTCTCAGGTTGGATTTTTGCTAATAACTATCCTATGCCACAAATTCAAAGAAACCCAAACCTTGGCTCCTCTCAAATATGCATTAAAATAGAGGCACATACAAGTGGAATTTTATCTGAGTGTGGTAAATCACTGTGTAGATTGCTTTTCTCTAGTTGTAAAATAGTTTTTGATTGTTTCACTATACTTTTTAATGTCTGGCCGAGGCACCACTGCTCTGAGGCAAACCTGACCAGACCTGCTGTAGCCACTCCAACGATTCTACGTGCTGCCGACCCAAAGGCCATCTGTTCCACTTCCTTAAGAACAGAGCTCTGTCCGATTCTGATCAACCCCCAAAGAAGAAACTACTGGCATACAGGAATTGCTAGGCAATGACCTGCTGTGCAACTATGATTCAGATTTGTCCAATAACTGAAGGAAGTATGTTGGGAACATCAGGGAAACATATTTCCTCTCTCAGAAGAGAGATGTTTTTCTTTCTTCTACAGATATCTTTGCTTTATGTTTTGGACTTCTGAGGAAGATATATTTAGAGTTGTGGTCACCATTACTATCAGGAAGGGAGCTAGTACTGCCAAGGAGAATAGTTTCAAAAGTCTGGTGAACCAACCCTAGGTGTGCTTACTAAACTTATACAGTAAACAAGAAACATACTGTTTAAATTACAGTTGGTCACAGATTCTGCTGCCTGTAGTCAAAAGTGTTGAACCAAAAGGACCAAATGAACAAAAAGACCTAGTCTTTCTTAGCACAGAATGCCATATCTGCAATTCTGTCCATTCATTATTCAGTCAGGATCAGCGTCCTTTTCTGTCTTCCCAGACACTTAATTTTGAGGGGAATGGGCTGAAGAACATCTTCCTGGAGAAGATGAAATCGAATTAAGAGCTAGAGCTCTGCCCTGTTACTGCAAAACCAATAGTACTATACAGCTTGGGATTCTTCAGAGTCAACACACACTTACTGAGTTCTTATTATACGCTAAGATATATGCTGTTTATCGGAGATAAAGAAAAAATAATAACAAGATTTGTATTGTTATGAGACAAACTACGCCAAAGAGCTGATTGTAGTCTCTTCTGAACAACGCGATCAGAAACCCGAGTATTATTTCATGAAGAGATAGTTTCGTGGTCCCTTCCATTCTGAGATATCCCAAAGAGACTTTGAACTCCAAAAGCCTTATTAAAATCCCACATTACTAATCTACATTCCAAGTTAAGCAACGTTTGTTTGGGATCTTTAAAAAAAAAAAAAATCTACATCTGGAAAATTTTTAAATTTCAATTTCTGATGATCGATCCACAATAAAAGATCAGCAACTTGAAATTTTGGCAAATGGGGATTTAAAATATTAGGAAAATCACAGTCAGATAGTGACATCTACGTTAGATAGCAAAAGAAATGTATAAGGATGAAGGAATGAACACTTAAGGAAAAATCTGAAACCTAGTACAGGGATGAAGAGCTGTGGGTGTGGCAAGCACGTCACCAAAGAATCTGGAAATTGTCAGGGGCTATGATACTGAGGTCAGGAAATGGCTTTGGGTGGGACAGGAACTTGAGTGCCGGAAGTTTCTCACGTCTCTTGTGGAGACATAACGTGCATATATTTATTGGGTACAATACAATCATTCCGTATATGTATACAATGCACAATGCCTCAATGAAATATTATTAGATCACAAAAATAAGTAAATCCTGTCATTTGCAGCAACGTGGGTGACTGTTTTGAAACGATCTGAATCATCACCTCATTTCGAGCAGGAAGAATTGGATTTCCAGCCATTGCCAGTTTAGAGAAGCTGGAAGAAGTCTCCAGGGCAAGACAGCTCTCACTCTGGTCTTCAGAGGTTACCCAGGATGGGAATTTTGAAAGCCAGGAGAGGCGGGTTTGAGAACCTTGGAGGTTGGTAGATTCCAACATACCCGTTAAAGTTCCAAAGCAGCCAGCCCTCAAGTTTCACAAGGATACATTGCTAAGTTCTATTTTCCAGGGCATCTACTTCCTCTCCAGTATTGCAGATGTTATCTTAAACACCAACCACTTGCAGCAACAACTTCAAGTTCTACTGAGAACCCAGGGACTCCAGCAAAACATTTTCCGGCTGCTGGGAATCCCCGCCCCAGGTTTTTAACCTGGGAACGGCCAGAAGGCGGAGAGAAAGCTTCTGGGTTCCACCCCCTCCCTGACAGATATTGTTTCCCACTGTCTGTCCACGTGGGCGCACCGCCTCACTATTGGTCCGTGCCTGGGACGGTGCCTTGCTCCAGCCAATAAACGGCCTGTGCACGTGCACTGTTGCGTCTTCGGATTGGTCAGCACCCCTTGATCACGCACTGCCTTCCTGCGCCAGCAAGAGTGTCTGTGTGGGGGGCGCCAATGAAATGACTCAGTGGTAACGCACAGCCAATCGGCAAGAAGCAGGTTTCCCAGCTGACTTATGGGCGCGCGCCGGGGTAGGATGTGCCAGCCCCTTGCCAGCCCCGGCGAGGTTTGTTAAAGGGACAGCTTACGCGGCGCGCCGGTGCTTCATGCCGCGCCGCACTGCCGCCGCCGCCGCGCTCAGCGTGCGGCCGGCGCCCGTGACAGCGGCGCTGCCGGACTCCCAACCCCGGCTCCGGGCCTCTGCCGACCTCGGCGGCGAAGCTGCGTCGCCTCTCGGGATGGGCGGCGAGGCGGGGTCCAGGACGGCCGCGGGGTGCGAGGGCCGCGTGAAGAGTCTGGGGCTGGTGTTCGAGGACGAGCGCAAGGGCTGCTACTCCAGCGGCGAGACGGTGGCCGGGCACGTGCTGCTGGAGGCCTGCAAGCCGGTGGCCCTGCGCGCGCTGCGCCTGGAGGCCCAAGGCCGGGCTACCGCCGCCGCCTCGCAGGTGGAGTACCTGAACGTGCGCCTGAGCCTGCGCGAGCCCGCGGCCGGTGAGCACTGGGGCAGAGCGTCGGGAGGGCGGGGTGCGCCGGCAGGGCCGGAGCCGGGGGCTGGGGACGACCCCGGGTTCCTGGGAGCCCGGGCTGCGCGCCGGTGGGCTGCCCCACTGGCTCGTGGCCCAGGCTCGCAGAGGCTGGAAAGCATCAGGCATCCCAGGATCTTCTGGCAGGAGCAGGCGGTTGTCATGGGAACGTGTGATTAGACGCTTAGGGACCCAGAGGTCTTGGTGCCTTCTACACCGAGGCATGCAGGGTGGAACCAGGTTGGGAGCCCATCCAATGTGAGATGCCCAGTGTTACCTGGGCCCCACTCTTTCCCATCCCACGGCAAGACAGTCTCGTCTTTCGTGATGAATTGGCAAAAAAAAAGTCACTCTCAGGAAGAGGAAAGTAAATTCAAATGAAGGGTCCCTAGAATTTGGCTGTCATAGCCCGGGTTCCCCCTTCTGGCAAGCAGCATAGCTTTGTCACCAGTTCTGCCCCACCTGATACAGCTATTTGGCTCCCTTTGAGTCTTTTCCCTCCTGCCTCTTGCTTTCCCAAAAGGCCTTTGCGGACAAAGCCGTGGGAACACTTCCGATTACTCCTTCCTGTCCACTTTGGTGTTCTTAGTGCAGACTTTTCCAGAAAGTGACCATGGCAAGACCAACCATGCGGGCTGAATTCAACTAGTATTCAGCTGAATACTAGATACAAAATTGATTTCTTTAATAATGATGAAGATAATGAAATCACTAGGACCAGTGATTCTTAGTTCTTTCTCAGCCAGGGAGGGGTTAAACAGTTTTATCTTTCTGCCTCATCAACTTTTAATTATTTAAATTTGAAAAGCAAAATGCACTGTAGCTAGATCTTCAAACCTTGCTGTAACTTACCTGAAGTGGAATGTGGTTGTGTCTCACCCTACCGTGGAGAAGTAGACTGTCCAACCCCACCATTTATGTGATCATATCAGTGATCCCCAAAACATAGATAGACAAACAATACTTGGCACCGAAGCCCTATTTTGATTGAACAAGAACAGGGTAGTAAGTGACACTTCTTACCTCTCTTCATGCATCTCCATCAGAGGGATTTTCGGGGTCACCCACTGGCCTCCCCAGACCTCACAGCCAGTGTGGATTTTCAAGATGGCTCTCTGTGGGGAAGAGCTGTGGGAGAGAGAAGCAAATGGTTTTTGTCTAACTCTGTAGACTCCCTGAGCCCATAACTGCTGAATAAAGAGAACAGTAAAAGCAGTTGAACCTGGGATTCACACTGAAAATCGCTGAGGTAAAGTCTGTGATTGGTGAAATTACAGGTATCATTTTGATTCACAAGTTGGGTCTTATTTCTTTATTCTCATGGAATGAAGACTAAACAAGCACAGTCTGAAAATCTTCAACTTGTTTTGGAATGTATCATAACAAGTACCATCAACATTTTACCTAAAAGCCAGTCTGTTTTAGCTGACAGGCAATCACTCCTGATATCTGAACTTGAAAAAAAGTTAGCCTCCTCATGCAGTTACAGATTCTCGCGATCATTTAATTTTAAAGCCAAGCTGTCTTTCTGTCATTTATAGAGATTTTTAGAAATCTAGGCTTCTGAAAAATAGAACCCTGGCATCTATTTTCAAAACAAGTACTCTCCAGATAGTACTTTGGATCTGACAGTCTAACTTTGCTGTCATTGTCTGGTGTTATTCATATTTTTAATGAGGGATTGTGACACAAAGACAAGAGTACAGAACCAGGGAGCCGGTTTGGGTTCTGAGGCAACAAGAGCCGTGTGACCTTAGACAAGCCCTTCACCCCGGCACTCTTCCTGGCCTGCCTCTGTCTCCGTATTGGTCTTCTAGATCCCTTGGCTCATGAAAGCCTTTAATTATGAGCTTTGACATAAGATTATTAGCAAATTAAATGTCTTGCTCTTCCATTGTGGTCTTCTGTATAAGACAGAAGTGACAAGCTGTGAGAACAGAAGCAGAAATGGGTGTAAGGTCCAGCTGGTGAACATTTGTAATTATAAATCATGAAAAAAGTGTCTTCCAAAAGTTAAAACCCATGTTTAGCAGTTTGCTCAAATCGTTGTGTTTCATATTTTAACATGGTTGGAAATCCCATTTAAAGTGGTTATGCTTGTGTTCACTTGTTTTGTCTGGAAAGGGGAACTTCATCTTTTCTTGGCTCTGTCCTTTATAGTAATCTAGGACAGCGCTCTTCCCAACAGGCCTAACACACTTCTTCGCGCTGTGCTCCTTCTGCCCACCTCTGTTCCAGTCTGCAAGTGAGGGTGCCAGGCTTAACCCACCTTCCTGGGTGGTCAGCATTGCTTTTTTTTTATTTTGTTTTTGTTCTGTCATAGATAAAGCAGAAATCTTCACTGCAGTGTCTGGTAACCAGGCAGATCTCAAAATGCTCTGTGTATTTTCTTCATCTAACTTATCCCATCCACAAGGAAGAGGTGGTAGGCTTAAATCTGAGCATGAAAGACAGGAAAAGTTTATAAACATTTCAGGAGCCACCTGACCAGTGCTGGAAGCCCTGAGTCTACTTTGGGTATGAGTTGCACAGTGTCTAGGTCCGTTCATCAGAGGTGCTAGTGCCCCTGGTCTCACAGACCCTACCCACACCCACTCTTTGGCCTTCTCCCAAGTAGTGTTAAGCCTATACATGAAATAAAGCCGAGTCGGCAGCCCAGAACAGCAGGTGGGGTCAAGGTCCTGCTTGGTGAATCCCAAACAGACCTCCCCTCTCCCTGGGACCCTGTTAATAAAACGGAAAGATAAATACCTGACTCTTGTTCAATAGCTTATCTTGTTGGTTTGACTGTGTTTATTTTATTATACTCATTATTAATGCTTATAATATTTTTAACTTCCTTTTCCATCTCTGCCCAAGGAATACCTAGTAAGCTTTTTTCTTTCTTTTTTTCTTTAAATGTGTTTAGTACAGGATCTACAGGGTCTCACCACACAGCTCAGACTCATGTGATCCTCCTGTTTTCAGCCTCCCAAGCACTGGGATTACAGACATATACCACCACACCCAGTCTCAGATGATATCTCTGCCCACCCTGGAGGCAGGGCTGGCAGGGCACACTGGGGATCAAACAGGAGTCCCTGCGCCTGCCTAAGCAGGTGCTTTAATCCATTGAGCTATCTGACTGGCCCTATAGTAAGCTTTTATGGTATACCCAAATATATCTCCTTTGCTAAATTAGTTTCACTTCAATTTAATATTGCTATTTCCTGTTAGTTTAATAGAGTTGGGTAAACAATTTGTTTTATATGTGCATATGTACACACTTCCACATATGTGTGCTTAACATGTACTGTATATGCATATGAGTGCCCTGGGATCTAGCACTTTATGATAGTTGCTTAATTGGTCTTTTGGAAGATGGAGATTGTGTGTGTGTGTGTGTGTGTGTGTGTACACATATGTATATGTTACTTGGTAAAAACTGATTCAAATTCAGTCCCCTATATACGTTTAGTGAACTTTTGAAGTATACTGAATTTTATAACCCTGAAAACCTCCTTTAGAAATAAGACTTAGGTTATGGAATGTCTTGAAGCTAATGTCTTTATTGTAACTAACCTTAGTTACAATAAAAATCAATCTCTTTTACAGGGGAAGGCATCGTTTTGTTACAGCCTGGAAAACATGAATTTCCATTTCGCTTTCAGCTGCCTTCTGAGTAAGTGAATTGGTACAGTTGCGTGACTTTGTTTCGCTGGGCTCTGTCCCTCTGAGGGCTTGGGTGTACTGCCTGTCTTCTGCTTTTGAAACTTGCAGTTTTGTCCTGAATAGCTGTCATTGTAGACGTACCTGCTTGCTCTTGTTGTTTCAACCTAAGCCAACCTTTTACCCCATGCTTTTTGGGCTTTGTTGAAAAATAAGCTCAGAAATTAATGTCTCTGGTTTGTTTCAGACCTTTGGTGACCTCATTTACGGGAAAATACGGAAGTATCCAGTACTGTGTGAGGGCAGTTTTGGAACGACCCAGGGTACCTGATCAGAGTGTAAAACGGGAACTCCAGGTTGTGAGCCACGTTGATGTCAACACCCCAGCATTATTGGTAAGTTGTTCCTTTTTCCCTCCCTGCCTCCTCTCTTGTTCCTCCTTCCTTTCAGTAGCAATGTCTATATTTAGCAGGTTTAGTGGTAGTCTGTCCTGTCACTTTCTGATGGCTTCAAAAATACAGTCTTGTAACCCATAGGCATTCACTATAAATAAATGATTCTAGGTTGGGCACATTACAAATTGTGTGTGTTAATACTGTTGATTATGTCCCTGCTGTTCAGGGCTTCTTTTGCCAAAAAGTTACACAGGCTTGAAATGCATTAATAAGGCTTAATAACAATAATGCACACACAGAGAGTAGTTACTTTTACCAAAGTGGCCACATTCACAGGACTGTGGTATTCTACACTCTTCAATAATAGCAGGTTGAGGAACAGTAATTATGGAAGAGTATTAATCACGCTCAGCCTGTTATTGAGGCTCCGGCCATTATGCTGTGTATCCTTCCATTTTGCATGTCATTTTCTAGCATTAAGTAAGCACATGCAGCTGCCGCCGAGATCCTTTCACTTATCATTTCCTTATGACAGATTTGGCCACATTAAAGCATTGAACTTCTAATAATCACCAGAAATACTGTAGACTGATACGAAAGATCAGGGTATAAGTAACAGCAGAATAGGCAAGATGGGAGCTAATGAGCTGGATTCTTTTATCTAAACCCATATTATCAAAATAATATAAAATTATACCTTCTGCTTTCATGTTAACTGCGAGGACCTAATGGTTCTTCATTTAAATATGAATGAATGATTTTTTTTTTTACTTCGTAGAGAATACTTAGATCATTTAAACTTCCCATCATGATGTTCTCACGTGACAAAGATCTATTCTTTTTCTCAGACTGTTTTTTAAAGACAAGGAAAAAAGCCAACACTTAGAAGTTGTTTCACTGCTATTTTCATATTAAAAAAGAGATAGAATTCACTTTAATGTTCACCTCTGAATGAAAGATGACCAATATGCCACGGTTGCATAGTTCCTTGGGTCCAAAATTAAGTAGCCAGCGCCAGCTCACTGGTCTGTAGCTCCAACTCTGACACCTCCTTAAAAACCTTTTTGAAAATTGATGATGCTAAATGTCTTGTATTTTAAAAATCTGTTTGGAATTGGGATGTGAAATACCTCTGAAATCTTTATAATCTTTATGGCAAATTATTTAAAAGGATTTTGTTTTGTCCAAAAGCAAATTGTAGTTATTCTTTACTGTTCTGTCTATAAAAGAAAAAAATATGTATATTACAGGTAACTTTAGACCTTACAGAGAATTTTCCTCTATACTTCTGGTGCACTGAGTACTTTGAACCTAGTGTCATTTTCTTGATATTAGAGAATATAGTAGGATACTATAGTGTGGCATCATGTGCTCAGTAGCCTTGCAGATCTGTTCGTAATGAGTGTGTAGCTGCAGCATTACACAAAGCCCCCAAACCATTCCATGACCACTTGACATGTCTGGCGAGTATGATAAAAATACATGGATCTGTGCTTATTCTCCATAGCAAGTACCAAACAAGTATGCCCTTCTGTTTATTAATTTGATATTATTTCTCCCTTCACCTGATCTGTACATAAACTTTTTCCAAAATGTATTTGTTGTAGGGTCTTACTATGCAGCTCAGACTCATAGTGATCCTCCTGTTTTCAGCCTCTCTAGGAGAGCGCACCACCATGCTTGGTCTCAGTACTGTCTCAGCGTGCTCTGGGGGCAGGGCCAGTGCAGCTCATCCTGGTCCCTGCGCTTGCCTAAGCAGGTACCTAGTCCACTGAGCTATCTCACTGGCCCTGTACATAAACTTTAAAAAAAAAAATTGACATGTTTCTATGCAGTAATACATACACATAAGTGTTGCCTTTGTGAAAGGGTAGTAAATTCTTTCCTAGAAATACAGTAACTCCAGGGTAAAATAAGTTGATGTTATGCCCAGTTAAATCTGAACATCCACCCTAGTTTTCCTGAGAAGGAGGTGAGTTTTAGCCTTACCATTGCTATACATGTTCTGCCTCATATGTCACATGGAAATAGGAAAGTAATTTCTTTACAACCATTGCATGATGAGAGATGTAATTTTAAGTTTTCTGAGTTCTCTAGAATGGTTTAATTAAGGTCATTGTATTTGAAATTTTCAAGACCCCTGTATTAAAAACTCAAGAAAAAATGGTTGGCTGCTGGTTATTCACTTCTGGTCCAGTCTCGCTGAGTGCCAAAATTGAACGAAAGGGCTACTGTAACGGTAAGCAGCTTCCTTGAAAGTCCAAGGAAAATGTTCATTTGGTTTTGGGGCTAAGTTTTAGTAATTTTAAATAGTGTGTTTTGAAGCTTATGCAATATAGCTTATTTTAAAACATGAATAGTAAAATTCTAGTTTTAATAAAATAATTGATACATAAATATTTTAAGTAGATCATTTGGTTCCAGTCAAAATTTGATATCTCTGACTTAAGTCCTGTTATTTTAGGAGCAAAGATAAAATCAGAGGAGTGTGGACATTCAGTACCAGCTGACTGTTGCAAGGCAGTGTCTAGAGTTAGACCCCCAGAAGACACCTGCAGTGTAAAAATACTGTTAGCACTCTGATTCTGTGATGACCTGACTGTAGAAATGTATGGGCGTAGAACATAAAACATCACCAAACCTTAGGCATGTTGATCTCAGACCTACCATTTGTGAGGGACCCAATTCCTAGAGTCGATTTGGTTCCCACTGCTGGGCTCTGCCTTGTTGGAAGTGAATGCTGTATGAAATAGTGTGGGGGAATGTTATAAACTTTACATATCCCATCTATTGTTTTATTTGTAAATAAAAACAGCTTCACTTCCTTAAAAGCAAAAGCTTTGCTCCTATTGGGAAGACATTAATTTGATAGATGAGTTTGTTAATGCTGTTTATTTAACATGTAGCGCTGAATCATGTATTTCAGAGCCCTACCTTAATTTACATGCATGCTGATCATTTGCATATCATTTGAATTCTCAATGTAGTATCGCTACATTGCAAAACTGAATAATTCAATACTAGAAAATAGTGTTCATCACCAAATACTTAAATATTATTTTAGGAGCAAAGATAAAAACAGAGGAGTGTGGACATTCAGTAACAGTGAGTGTTGGTTTGTCTGATTCAGTATTATATGTTTTCCGTCAGGGCTTCTCAGTTTGTTGAAGAAATATTGGAACATTTCAACTTGCACTGGTGATGCCCTTATTCCTTTCTGGTAAGAAGTTTTGGTTAAAAGTTTCTGAATCCATCCTGTTTTGTTTCCTTTCTAGGAGAAGCTATTCCCATTTATGCAGAAATAGAAAATTGCTCATCACGACTGATTGTTCCCAAAGCAGCTATTTTCCAAACCCAGACCTACTTGGGTAGTGGAAAAACAAAGACCTTCCGCCACATGGTAGCTAACGTCCGAGGGAACCACATCGCCTCCGGGAGCACAGATATATGGAATGGGAAGACTCTGAAAATCCCACCTGTGACTCCCTCCATCCTGGATTGTTGCATTATCAGGGTGGACTATTCCTTAGCTGTAAGCAAGTTCTTTTTTAAATTAAAGTGTGTAGAGTCGAGCAGTATCTGGAGGCATGATGCCATGAGATGCCGTGAGTTCAAAGTCAATACTTAGGAAATTGTCATTCGATGTCACTGTTACTGCTAATTGTGAACCATACGAAAATTGGCCTTTGTTTTTACTAAAAATCTATCTATCACTTTTGCATGGAATGAAATAAAGGAAACATAAAGAGATTGGGGTGGACCAGCCAGATAGCTCAGCAGACTAGAGCTCCTGCTTCGGCAGCCACAGAGACCAGGGTTTGATTTCTGGGTTGCCCTGCTGGCCACGCCCCAGGGTATGCTAAGGCTAGCTGTGGTGGCATGTGCCTATAATCCCAGCGCTTGGGAGGCTAAAAACAGGAGGATCACTACGAGTCAGATCTGTGTAGTGAGACCCTGTAGATCCTGTACTAAATACATTGAGAGACAGAGACAGAGAGAAGAGAGAAGAGACAGATTGGGGTGCATTGCAGGGTGTCAGCATACCAAAGCCACACACTTGATTTTGTGTAGTTACAAACAGTGCCAGCTAATGCTAAAGGATGTTAATGCCATGATCCTTGTCACGGTATATTCACTGTGTCTTATGTACTTTTCACAATGCTCATTTTGTGTCGTCAGGATTGTCTACATGTGAAACAGGAGTGGGGTGATAGTTGACAGAGGAATCCATTCCTTTCTGAAAAAAGACACTAAAGGGCAGTCTCCTGTGTGGTTTACATATCTGCGCCTTTGTCTTTTTTCCGACTTATCAGGTGTACATTCACATTCCTGGTGCTAAAAAGCTGATGCTCGAGCTGCCTTTGGTCATTGGCACGATTCCGTATAATGGCTTTGGCAGCAGGAACTCCAGCATCGCCAGCCAGTTCAGCATGGACGTGAGCTGGCTGACGCTGACCCTGCCAGAGCAGCCTGAAGGTAAAGTGGGTCTCCGTTCTCTCAGAGTGAAGTTGTATACAGGAAGTAGCTGAGCACAGGACCGTAAGACGGTACGCACTCGGATGCGAATTAGTACATCTGGTACAATTAGCCTAAGAAAATATCATAAAAGAGACATCCAAAACTTAACTTACCGGGGACACAGAGCTGTCCAATGGCTCTTGAGAATAAAATGTACACAACCCGATGCCTATTTGTAATAATAAAAAATGAGAAACAGGCAAATAAAAGTGTATAGTGCCGTATATTTCCTGTGGCCACAATTCAGTGACAATTGCTTGCCTCGCCTGTCCTCAGTCATTGTTAGCAATAATTTTATAAAAGCAGGAGCAAAATTGTTTTTGTAGCAGTGAACCTAAAAGTTTGTGGAGTAGAGAGAAAAATGCCTCATTTTAATCTTCAGTGTAGCTGAATTTATTTTTGAAAGTGTTCCAAATTTTGTGTGTGTGTGTGTGGGAATCTCTCAGGTCCACCCCATTTCCGTTTCAGCACCACCAAATTATGCGGACGTGGTGTCGGAGGAAGAATTTTCTAGACACATTCCTCCTTACCCTCAGCCCCCAGACTGTGAGGGAGAAGCGTGCTATCCAATGTTCGCCTGCATACACGAGTTCCGCTTTCAGCCTCCACCTCTCTACTCAGAGGTAAGCAAAGCAAAACAAAAGTAGACTCTTTTTGTGCTGTTTGCCAGCCATCGTTTGCCATCCTCCGTTCATTTAAAGTGTCTGTTGCTGACTCATAACTAGTGAAGGATGCATGTAAATCTTCTTTCTCAGTGCCTGTCGATGATTGCTGATCTGTCCAGCTTGCTTTCTCGCATTTTCCTATGAGCTATAGCGTGCGTGCACAGTATCGTGATTGCCTTTAAGATGTTTTATGGGACCTTGGCGTTCAGAGAACTGCACAGCCTCCTAGGACTTGCTAACAGATAATAGACTGTGAATAGCGTGGGTAGTAGTCATCATGTAATTAGACGTTGGTAGCAGAGTCACTTAAAAATGCCGCAGCAGTAATCTCAGCCTTCTTTTTTGCAGGTTGATCCACATCCTGGTGACATAGAAGAGACCCAGCCTGTTTCCTTCATTCTCTGAATGAACATGTTTTAGAAATCACTGTGCTCATTATCAAATTGGAATGTTGCCCCTTTCCCCCCTGCCTTTTCGGGGGAGAGTGCAGAAAGATTAACTTAAGACCACAAACAAACATCAAGACTGAAGGCAGTAGAACTTAAAGACTGCTAGAGCTTTCTAGTGGACCAAGACAATGGTCACACAAGTTTCTCTGATGGCCGTCTGTCGCCTTTGGGAATGGGATGAGGTGAGAAGGAGAAGTGGAGGTGCTGGTGGAGGCAGAGCAAGTGAGGGAGGCCTGCTGGTCGGCGAGGAGGGATTCTGTGGAGTGGAAACCAGAGCGGGGAAGCCGCAGAGGCTTGGCAAAGAGAAGCAGATGCATTGTGAACTAAGGCAGTGTGGACTCTCTAGGCAGACGTGGTTTTGAGAGTGTAGCCGCGTAGACACCCCCGGAAGTGGCCTACTCTGAGCAGCCAGATCGTCAGGTCCGGGGTCCTTGCGATTGCCTGTCACACTGCCACCTCACAGGTCAAGGTCCTGGCAGGTCCCCTTTCTTGAGATCACGGTCACGTAAGGTCCTAAACAGGTAACACAGTTTTCATTCTTTCCTTACTGGGTTAAAAAAATCTACTTTCTAAATTGGCTCTACAGTATTAGGAAACTCAGAAGCTTTCTTGAAACGTTTGCCACTTCAAATGGGAAAGATAAATTTAAGCATGAAAATGTGTTGTGTTGAAAAATGTAATTTTGGTACCTTGAAGTACTTAAACAGGATTCGTTTGGTTGTCCTCATATCTTAATTATCTAAGGGCACGGCAGGAAAAGGAAGAGGAAAGAAAAAGTCACATCTTAGGATGCCCGGATAACCACACAGTCACAAAAAGGCATTATCTTAACCTACCTCTAGTGGGGTTATCAGATAGATTTTCAAAACTCTAGACTTGGTGAACCTTATTTGGCATTTCTGCTATTTATAGTAGCAGTCTTATCTCACCTATCATCTAATCTGAAATTAAGCCAAGGGAAAAAATCTGTAAGGTTGGCATTAAGTGGAAATAAATACATGAATACCTAAAGGCATTTCAAAATAAATGTAAACTCAAAAGAAGGAAAAAATGCTACTTTTTGAGGAAAAAGGGCATAATTTAATTTCCTGTTAAGAGGCTTAACAGACTGATGGCAGTCACTAATACATTGTGATTCCATTTAATTAGTAATTGTATTTAAACTGTGACTTTCTTTTTCGTTTTGGTGCAATATTTTGTTGTCATTTAACCTCAGGATATTCAGACCAACAGGATTGTGTTGCTGCTCGAAGTTTCAGCAGTGTTTTTATTGTCCCCTGTCCCCTCCTATTCATGGTCACACGGTCATGCGCTCACTGGCTTTTCCCTCGATCTGCTAGTGTGAGCAGAGGCCACTTCTGGATCCTAAGGGAAAGGGAGCTGGGGCTTCCCAGCCTAGAAGCTTGGGGCCAGCTGGCTCCTAGGGACTGACCCAGAAACCCTGGTGCTTCCAAGGCAGATACTGTACTCCATTCGCTAACATGATTAGTGTGTTCACTTAGAACTAGAAAAGCACTTCTGCAGTTAAACTCTGTCTTTAAAAATCAGTTGGCCATTTGATCAGGGAATTTTTTCTGTAAGCATTAGGTGAGTGTGAGCTTTCCCCTTGGCTGCACTGCCCATCTCTGCGATGTGAAGCATCGGACCCATTTCTTCATTTTCAGCCCCATCCACAGTCACTGCACGTGTGGCGAACCCAGGAATTGTGAACAGTCCTCACCAAACTTAACTCCTTGCTTTGGTTTTTAAAGGTCTTTTACTTTGCTTTGTTATTTTGTATGTCTTTCAACAGCGTATTTAATTGCTGTCCAAGCAGCTCATTTCTGCTATTTATTAAATTCAAAGATATTGTTTACATGCCGTGTCAAGACACCATTATGTCCGTCTCTGTGAAACCAAAACAAGGGGATAGAAAAACTCAAGCAGAATGGACAGAGAAAGTTTAATTATTTGACTTCGTTTAGAAAAGCAACCACTTAGTGGAATCATTCAGTAGGATAGCTTTATCTTTTTGATTAGAGAGATTATGAACCCTGTCCAGGATGATTGACATTTAAGGGAATAGGTCAAAAGGATTACTTGGTATTCATATGTCTGACCTTAAGCAGCAGGTTGGAACTGCATAACTTTTTATAATCAAAGTATCGTCTTATGAATGTAAAAAACTACATTGGCACACAGAAAATATGCGAATGAAGAAAAAACTCCAGCTGCTATTGTTTTCCTCTTTATTCTGCTCTTGCTCTTGTTTAGTTTGGGGGAAAAAGTGGCCTTACAATTTTCCCTTAGATGCAAAACGTTTGAAATTGAGAACGTGCATCATTGGGCACGCAAACTCTTTCGTTCCCTGGTAAAATCTGACTTGTGCTGTTTTCGTTTTGCACAATGAGAAGCTCCGTAGGCAGGGAATGTGTTTTTGATAAGTTAACTCTGAGAGCTTTTTTTATTTTTGTTAAAAATGTGACAGTTTAACCCACAAGAAAAACAAAAGATTGTATTTTGTACTCTCGTTTGAACCCTGTGGGTTCCTTTTGTTAATAAAATGATTCTACTAATGCTGCGAGTCATTTCTTTTTGCTTTTGCTTAAAACACTGATTTAAATTATCCTAGACAAGGAAAATCAGTCCCAAAAGGCCAGGCTGTCCTTGCAGTTCAGGTCGTTTCGTCCCGCTCACATTGTCAGGTGAGGCCCAGCAGCAGAGATGCTTGCACCGCGCTTAGCTTTCCAGGCAGTCAGTTTTAGCATTTTGTGAAGAGAAGGAATTGAGACATACATGGACGCTTAAGCCACAGGTGTGATCCAAACACACAGTGAATGTTTACACTTTTTAACAATGATGTAGTGAGAGACACATTGGCCTGAATCCCCTCCGCATGCTGCCCTCGCCTCAGACACACTTAGCATTCTTGGCACTTTCTGAAGCAGCTCTAGAAGGCCTCTCCAGTGAGGATTTTCACGTTTGATAAAGACACAGAATGCTGCTGCCAGGAGTCGTCCTATGCAAAGGCCTTCCAGCTGCAAAGGCCTTGTGGTGTGTCCTCATTCGGTACATTGACCAAGTCTGGCCCTGTGGCTTCTGGGCCTGCTTCAAAGCTGAAGTGACTGGAAGACAAAGCATGGATTCCGGGTGTGAAATAGCTGCAGCAGCACGACTAGCGATCCAAAAGAAGACTTCCGGAGCTGCTGCAGAAAGTGCCAAGACTGATGGGCTATACACGTTCGTAGGGAAGAGGGGAGCATTTTCAGGGGGATTAATGACCAAGAATTTTCTTATCATAATTTTCAATCATGTTTCATGCATTGGTCATTGAGAGTATCATCATTTACGCATAAATGATGTATCCACTCCAAAGCCTCCTTTAGTGTTTGGTTTTTTTAGGGTTTGGTTCAGCAGAGGCTTCCCAGGACTGATGCAGCAGATCTGGTGGACCGTGAAGGGTTCCTCACAGGGCAGTTCCAGCCCGTGTAAACCTCTCCTTTCTATATAAGTAAGTGGTTACCAGCCCTACGAGTAGCGTAAGGAAGGTGTGATAGCAACTTATCTCAAGTTCTGAAAGTCAAACTTCGCTACATGCTAAACAGCTTGGTTTGCTTTCCAGTTGTTTTTAATATACGACCTAGGGTTACACAATGAAGTTTCTTTCTGCATGTACATGTATTTGTACTGCACATACATTTGAATATTTATAATAAATACTGAGGCTAAACTTAGAAGGTTGTCGTTAAAGTTTCTGTAGTTGGTATCAGGAAGGTGGATTCTAGAATCTAGAACTAAGCCAAACACTAGGAAGATACAAGAGCAAAGCTCTCAATTTACCAATGAGGACACACACAAGCCAGGGAAGTATTAGCCGAGAGCTTGGCCCACCTGCTCTTTGAGGTCCCTGCTTGCTCCAGAACGTCCTGACTCTGCAGCTTTAGAGCAGCGATGAAAACAGTCATTGTGCTCAATTACACAGCTTAGGAATTCCAGACCTGGATACCAAGCATATGTTAAATGGAGAGTCTTCAGTGTTTATATCTAAAATCCCTGCCTCCAGCAGTCTTTGACTAAATTGCTTCCTAAGTATGTTTAATTAGTAACTGAAATCCTTCCTTCAACAGATCTAAGATCTTCATATTTTCAAATAATTATAGGCTCACAAGACGTTGCAAAAACAGGCCAGCAGAGTCCCAGACATTCTTCCCACCGTCTCTATCCCTCAGTCTCCCCTGTGGTGGTGTCCTAGCCACCGCAGTACACTGGACAACCAGAACTGCACATAAAGCAGACTCCCCCTGCTTGCGTGCACTCATTCTCCTTACATGTACGTGTTCAGATCCATGACGTCATCAGATAGCGTTTTGCATTTCCACCTTCAAGTCAGAACTGCTCCATTACCACAGAGAAAACCCCCGGGAGGCTCCCTTGTCCTGGCCCCCGTCTGCACAACTCCCTCTCCCACTGATCTGCTTACCATCTCCATAATCTTGTCCTTTCCAGAATGCTAGCTAGATAAGTGGCCTGCACTTTTTGAGGTTGGATTTTTGTTTGTTTGTTTACACCGCATAACAGACTAAGATCTACACGAGCTTCTGCTTGCATCAATGTTTTCTTTATATTTCAACTGAGGCATCTGAAAGGAAACAGATTAGTGCTTAAAACTTCATCCTACACTTTACAAAGAAAACATGCAACAATTTTATGCTCTGCCTGCTTTCCTAAATATTTCTACCTTTTATGTAGAAAATGCAGAAGTGAAGATCTGCAAGCTTTTAGCGGTACATTGGAGCTTATCAAAGTCCTGGAAATATTTTGCCTCTAAACAGCAAGCTATTACATCATAAACAAACAATGTATCAGTGATGAAATTGTAGGCAGAGAGAAATTATGTTGGGCTGTTTGCTTCTGAATAACATTAATTATACAGGAAAAATATGTGTTTGCTTTATATGTGTATAACACATTTCATGAGCTTTGGCTTTTTCCTATCTCTTTCATTTCCTTCTCAGCCACACTTCTTAGTACCTGGTGAGATAAAAAAAGTCCAGTTGTGAGAACAGGTTTTGACTACAAAGTATATTCTTATCCTTGGTAAAATAGTATAAATATGGGCTCCTTTTTTTTTTTTTTTTGTGGCCAGCTCAGCCTGCCCTGGGGACAGGACTGGTGTGGCATGTGGTACTGGGGATCGAACCACAATTCCTGGGGTTGCCTAAGCCCACCTAAGCAGGCGCTTTAGACTGCTGAGCTATCTCACCAGTCCAAGTTTCCTTTATTATTATTATTATTATTTTGAAGAGTAAAAACAAGAGCAAGAAAAACAAAAGCAAAGACAGAAACAGGGTCACATACAACAATACACGTGTTACAGATTTTCAAAACAAGAATAGTTGATTAACAGTGATTGGTATAGTATCTATTTTTGTCTTCAAATCTGTTGCTCAGATTAACAGATATAGTTATTCAAGATTGGACATATGATTGAATATTACCACATGCTTTCAAGAAATCTTAAATTTTAGTTCTTGACTCTTATTTTGTTTTATTATCTTTTAAAAAAACTTTAAAGAGTATAGTAATAATTGATATGACATTAGAAATGGTACACATTGAAAAGACCAAGATGACAGGTATTTCAAGCATGGTTTTAGTATTACACATTGCTGTCCTCAATTTGTTTGCTTAGTTCACAGATATCAACATAGTTAGTCACGGTGAGAATTCTACCCATTAACTGCTATTTTCAAAAGCCTGATGGGAATTCTTAGGACTATTGCCTTATCCAACATATATATATATATATATATGTATATGTTTTTTCCCCTACCTTATTTCCTAACTTTTCTCCTTTCTCTCTTTGTTGTTTAATCCTTAAGTTCTACTTCTTTCCATTTAACTGTGTCTGTTTCAGTTTGTATTCTTTTGAGTTCTCACGTTAGGGACTTGGAAGGGCGGTGTCCTTATTAAAGCTACTACATCTTTCAGGACAGGAGAACTGTCACCTCCTAGAAGTCCTCACGTGCTAGCCTGAGGCACCCTTCTGCACCCTCAGACCTGCATCCATTGGAGATGGCAGGAAGTCGTGAAAAAAACGTACACAGTGATGAAGCCGAGGGGCCGATAAAGTATTGACGGAGTGCCTGCTACAGAATGCCACAAGGAAACTCACTATCACCTGTGTCTTCGGCAGAGCTACTCTTGCATTTATTCGTGGAGATGTCACACCTGTACAGTTTTTTAAAAAACTGAAATATCTTGCATGGACAGGAAAAGACCTGTTGTAAGCACTATGTCCCATTAGAAACAGATGAAACACAGGTGTTTTTTGCATAGTTGTAAATGTCCCTATATACACACATACATGCACACATGCATGTACCATGCACACATATACATGTATACAGATACATGCACACATATATGTACCAGGCACACACATACATGTGCACAGATACACACACACACACACACATACACACACACTGATGCTCATACATTCTCAGTTTTCTCTCGTCCTTTTATCTGCAGTCTTTAGCTCTAGGCCTTGGTAGTAGGTAAGATGTAAGCTTTGTTACAAAAGAAAAAAATAGCCACTTACTGCCACAAGAGTCTGGTGGGAAAAGAGATGTTATCCCCCAGTTTTTTGCCAATGGCCTGCAGACAGTGAAACACTGCTGAAGAGACATCAATGACTGACCGAGAGAGTAAACCAAGGGCAGTTGACACCAGTTTATCCTCTTCTGTTCTGCACTGACTGTATGTTACAATAGCTCCATCTCCTTACAAGCCCAGCTCTCTATATCTTCAATGATAAATTGATACAAAGAGTTTCAGACCAAATTAATAACTGACACATGCAGTGTCTATTACTATAATATTTATATTGTGAACTACTTTATCATGAAGATTTCCTTTTTTGAAACCTGTCTCTTCATTTAGTAGCCAGACTCTAATTATTCATGTTTTAAGCGATTTATACATGAGCGATATCTTTCTTAGCTATCTCTGCAGACATTTAGACTTCCCCAAACTGGTTTGTTGAGTTCACTGAATAAAGTATAAAGGTCGTGGTTAGCCTTGAAACATGGCTTACATGAGTGTTCACATAAAAGCACACATGCACATGCATACACATAGATGCATTGTATCCTGGCTAGCTTTCTCCCTAAAGGCAAGACAGTTCATCAACAGAGGCAAGGCTTACATATCTAGACTCTTTAGAGAGGGCACATTTTAACATCAATTTAACCCACTACTTGAAGAACACAGCATAGCTCTATGTTGTTGATGGGCAGTAACAGATAAGGGCTAAAAATTCATACACTGATAGAATTGCATATTCCACGCATGCACTAGATCATTGCAATACAGAAAGCCAAAATAAAAATCATAATCAAAACCATAATAGCATAGCTGAGACAGGTCAAGGACCACATGGGCATACACACAAGAAACGGTACTGAGTGTTCAGTATCAGAGAACCTCTCTATAGACACACTTCAACAATACCAAGAAAACAGCCCAGGAAAAACAGCTTAGGAACCTGTCGGGCGCCCTCCCGTCC